GATTAGTGGCTCTGCCACCTGAGCTACAGCCACCCCAACCGAAGAACCGAAATACAACGGATTTACCTAATTTAAGGTGATGCACCATTGACATTGAACCATTTAGTAGCATACATTCTATACATTCTAATATACTCACAATTGACAATGAGGTTATAAGCAGGGCTGGTCTTGTTTCCAAAAGCATTAATAGCCATACAGTAGTAGATTCCATTATCATAGCGCTCCACCATACTGAGGTGGAGCGTCTTATTTTCCATGTAGAAAACAGTTCTGTTTTCATCATGCAGTATCTCCCCATTCTTCATCCAGTAAATGTATTCAGCAGGTCCAGTTACATTGCATGTTAAGTTATATGAATAACCTTCTATGGCCGGCATCATTGGTGCTTTTACTTCCACATTTTCTATTTGATCTGCAAACAAAACAAACACAACAGTCATTTAGTCAGAAAGACATGACAAAGGTAACTTACATCAAAGCTGTTGTTAAAAAGGTCCAGCAGTGCCCACATTTAACCTTTAGTATGAGCCCTCAAATACTCCAAAACTGGTATGTTAACCGCACAAGCAAAGGCAACACCATCCTTTAGCACATCTCGGTGAGTTTTAAATGGCCCACGGCAACCACACAACAGCCTATTCTCCCTGATGCCCTCTGGTTATAGACATAACATTGATAAATCACACACTGGCACGCTATGGAACACTTTCTTTTTTTTTCAAAACCCCCCAAGCATGAAGAAATGAGACAAACACACAACACACATGCACATAGATATGCAAGTATAATTTAACATCTGTGCATTGTCTTTTATTTACTGCCTTCTGTAAAGTTTCATACGATATTGATATGTTTTATGTATTTGTAAATCATTTTTCTGTGCCTGAACTTTCGGTATTTCACATAACTGAAATTATCTGAACTCCAGATAATTGACTTGCAACAAATATTTTGAATCTTGAAATGTTAAAATCATATCACTCAGTTGCGTAAATCTTTAAAATATCAAACTCACAGATGACAACGAGCATGTAAAGAGCGCTGGACATGTTTCCAGCAGCATTAATAGCCAAACAGTAGTAGTTTCCAGTGTCATATCGTTTTACTGGATTAATCTCAACTGTCTCGTTATTCTTGTGGAAAAAAGTCGTGTTGTCTTCATGCAGTCTCTGCCCATTCTTCATCCAGTAAATGTAGTTAGCAGGTCCAGTTACATTGCATGTTAAATTATAGGCGTAACCTTCTTTGACAAAGGTCACTGGTGCATTTAGTTTTACATTTTGGATTGGATCTGCAAACAAAGCAAACCACATAACACTTAATTTCTCTA